TTTTCTGAATTCAACATGATTTTACTTAACTATATTTTGATTATTTATATTCAATATTTTAAGCTTAAAAATATTTAAATGGAAGAACATATATATTTTGATTATAAAAGAGCGATTTGTTGAGGTTTACCTTTGAATAGTTGTCTATTCGATTAGGCATTAAATTTGTAAACAATTTTATTCAATTTTCAAACAACATTTACAGCTGAACGAAAATATTAAAAGAAAATTCCAATAATTTTCTTTCTTTTATTAAATCGACTACAAAGAACTTAGGTGACGTTATTTTGTTGCTTTGCTTTTTGCTTTTTTGATTGAATAATGTAAATGAAATTCGCTTGAATTCTGTTTATAAATATGCATAAATTAATGTCCTAATAGGCTTCCCATGGAAATATATTTCGTTGAAAATTAGCTGCAATTTGAGCGGAATCAAATTAATATTGATTTATTTATGAGACCCAAGTAAAATAACGATGAAAAGTGGCTTAAAAAGCAGAGAAATTGATTTCTGGATCGTGTCTGGAATGAGAGCAACTTCGGGCAGGAGCTACAGTTGGCCACGACAAAAATGTTGCCCAGAGCTGACGACAGACAGAGAGAACGTGAGAAAGACAGAGAGAGAGAGAGAGAGAGAGAGTGGGAGAATGAAAGTGTGAGTGGGAAGAGTTGTTTCCCGTTCTAGTGCTGCTGCTGCAGCAGCGTCATCAGCAGCTAAGTGTTTAAGTGTTCTAATGTAACTTTGTCTCAACTGCTTCAGTTGCTATTTCTCACTCATTTTCTTGGGGCACTTTGGTCGATGGAAGCACGTTGACTGCCTCTAATATGATTATGATTGTTACTTTCCTCTCTCTTGTTGCTTTATGCAAATTATCGACTGTAATCAGTCAGTCAGAAAAAAAGTAAACTTTAAATTGACTAATTCCAAAAAAAAGGTAAAAATATTTCAAACTGGCCGACGGTCATTTTAATTATCTGGCAAAAAAATGCAAAGCAGCTACAACAGCAACAGCAACAACAATGACAGCCAAAAAGAAATTCAATTAAAATGGAATCCCCGGAAATTCCTTGTAATCCCAAACAGCCCAGAAAAGAAGCAGCAGCAGCAGGAGAAGTGCGTATAATGCGTATACATATTGTCAAAAGGCAAATTGTACAACTCACGAAGGTAGCACAAAACATGTGGCCAATAAATTCGTGAACAGCAGCTACAAGGAAGAGAGAGAGAGAGAAAAAAAAAAACGCAGATGAAGTAACTTAAGTATGTAAATTGCCGCACGTTCATTTTTTGATTTTCCCCAGCATGAAATCAGTATAATCTGTTTTGTCAGTGCCCTGACCAACAACAGCGACAGCAATGCCAGCAGCTGAACAGCAACAGAAAAGTCAACGCAAACTTTGCCAGCTGAAGTTGATTTAAAACGCGATGCCAAACCCGCTCGCCCCTCTCACGCTGTACCATCTCTCTCTATGTGTGTGTGTGTGTGTGTGTGTGTGTTAGCCCACCGGGTGCTTATCCGTGTCCGTGCTCTGGTCCGTATCCCTGCCCAGAAGCGCTGATTAACGCACTCGAGCGCAATCTGCCTCACTTCACTTTTATGTAAACACAAAACAGAATATAAAGGCATAAAACAAAATAAAATAGAACGCCTCTCTTTCTATCTATCTGTCTGTCTGTCTGTCTGTCTCTTTCTGTCTCTGTGGCTGTCTGTCTGTAGAGCAGCAGGCCTATCTAGATGTGAACAGCAAAAAAATAAATATATGTTTGACTCTCTGTCTGCCTTTTCATATTAAAGGTAATTTTCATATTTTTGCAAATGGCTGCCTAGCAGTACGTTCGCTCTCTCTCTCTCACTCTTTCTATCTTTTTGAGTCGCTTTAGCATACGCCAAATTCAATCATTTAAATTCAAAAATACACATAAATATACTTATGTGAAAAGAAGAGAATAAAAGTTTACCTATATATACAGGTAAATATATATATATATGTATATACACATACATATATATATCTCTCTCTAAAGCCCTACTTGTACATTGTGTGGCAAGGTCAACGGCCGACAATTGTATAAAATGAAAATATTATGAACGTGAATTTTGGCAAAGCAAAGACGATTGTAATACCCTAAGGTGTAAAGATTACAAATACGATTTCGCTTGAGCAATGGGCGTGTGCTACGCTACGCATATCAAAATGCTCTATTCAGACTGAAAAATTTATAAGAATTTCATTCTTGAATTGTGAGTGCTCTTGTGTATAAATGTATGGGATGTGGTTACGCATAAATTGTTATCAGGGGAAGAGGGAGGGAGCTGGCAATTGTTTGAAGTAATCGTGTTAATGTGCGGCTAGTCAATTGCGCTTGAAGTATGTAGGTCACAATAGGCTGGTTATTAATTATGTTATATTAATATTAATCTAGTTTTACTTTGATTTATATCCAATTCGCTACAGCTGCAATTTATAATTGTTAAAATAATAATTATTAAATTAATTTAATAATAGATTTTTCTTCATTCAAAGTCAAATGCTATAAGGTTCTATAAATAGATATAAATATAATTTGTTTTTTAAATGTATATACATATGTATGTATAAGTATTTTTTTATAATATTTTTTATTATTTATATGAAAAAAAAAATACATTAAATAAATTTTGCTTTGGCTTTGCAAATAGATTACAAACATTACTTGATTTTTTAAATATTTATTAATTAATATAATAAACACCAAAATAATAAAAAATATAAGCTACATTTGTATATAGTTTTTTTTTTTTTTTTTGTCAATTTTTGTATAAAGTCAAATTGACAAAGGCGCTTTAATTTTAATTGAATTACCTAATCATGTAGCTGTAAATAATTATGTAATTAATAATCAGGCGTGCTTAATACCTGGCCGTAACTAGATTATAGCGAAGCTTATGTCATATCAAATGCTGTCATATGTTTAGTTATGCAAACACGAATATTAATCAATGATATGTTTTGCTGGAGATATTAATTATTATTTAATATGTTAGAAAAACTAAATTGCATTTTATTGCATTAGGTATTTGAATAAATAAACATTTATTTGCCTGAATTTTTGACACTTTTTAAAGCAAAAAAATACTTTTTTTCTACAAAAATTGTAGGAGTTGATTTTAGGTTTCCTTTTTCTTGTTTTTCTTGACGTTCACCTTTGAACTTTATTTTGTTTTAGTACATGCCAAAAGCTTGACCCTTGACTTTTGAACCAATTTTAGATGCGAATCAAGTTCATTTTTAAGTGTTCCTATGGCTTTGCTTTGCTCTTGCTCTTTTCAACTGGGCTAAAACTTGTTCTGCTCTATCTCCAGCAAGCGTTACCAATCTTGTGCTCAAGTTATGTTAGCCATCGTCTCAACTGCGAGTGCATCAAAAGGGCAAAATCTGAACTGAGTCGCGGCTTGCAAAACTTGCAATAAAAAAGAGATGGAAATATTTTAAGCTGAGGCGCCCAAGAAGCGTGCTGCAAAAAATATTTATTACTCTCTGCCAGGCACAAGCATCTATGTGTGTGTGTGTGTGTGTGTGCTCTGTGCTATGTGTGTGTGTGTGTCTAGTGGAAGATTGTTTGCCCTCAAGGTGAAAATATGCTAAGTAACAAATAAAAGCAAGATCTCTATCAGAGGCAGGCAGCCTCAACTGCGACGTCGACGTCAGCAGCGATTGCAGCGCCGGCGTCGACTGCAAATGTTGCAAACGAGTCGAGGCGTCGCGTCGTTTCTTTTGGCTTTTTATGTATTTCTCTTTTATTTTGCTTTTTTTTTGAGGTTTTTTTTGAGAAGTGCTGCAAAACTAGAGCAGGATGAGGAATGAAACGAAACGAAACGATACGGAACGGATCGGAACGAAATAGACGGCCAAAAGCAAAGCTTGTAAACAAATTAAGAGATTGCTTTCGGCCAGGCGGCCCTCAAAAGCGTTGAACTGAAGGCTAAGCCAATGGGCGTAGCGCGCCAGCAATGGGGCAATGGGCGTTTCTAATCAAATCAGTTGCTGCATGCAATAAATTCCAACGGGGGGCAACAAAAAACCAAAAATAACAAAAATACAGAGAAGTAAAATGAAAAACACTTTGCGGTTTCTGCTGCTGCTGCTGCTGCTGCCACAAGCTGAAGCGACAAACAACAAAATTGATTGGGCGACTTTTTTTTGTATTTCTATTTTTTAGGTGTAGTGCGTGTAAAATTTTTGTTTACAAATTGTTCAACTTTCATAAAATGTGCCCAAAGGGGCACAAGGAGTGGGGCGTGGCTATGGCGTGACTGAGTTTCGTAAAAGGCTGGATTTTTTTAGTTTTCTCTCTGGCCTATATCATGTAAATATGATTATTTTAAATCATGAAACTCTCAAGTGTTTTGTAAATAATTTCCAGCAGGCTAGCTAAAAGCTGACAAAGTTTTTCCAACAACTATGAAAAAAGTGCTCAGACTTGAATGTCAACAAACGTATATATGTGTATATGTATCTGGGTTAGAATAGCTTAGTGATTAAAGCGATTTGAAGAGTGGCAAGGCAAGGTTGAAGTGGACATTGGAAAGCTCAGATATATTATTTACTTAAAGAGAACCGAAAATAGAGAACAAAGCAGAGCAATAGTATAGAGTTTTTT